GAGAGGTCGTCGAAAGCTGCGGACTGCTCCCTGCCGCCCATCGAGCCCCGCGCCACAGGCCGTGCGGCGGCCGAGGGCAAGGGCAAGGGCGGGCAGGCGAGAGCCGCGCAGCTGGCCTCCCGCTCCTCCACTCGCCTCGACCCGCCCCTGGGCCCTCGGCCCTCCACGCGACTCGTGACCAACCCCTCCAGTCCCTTTCCCCCCCTCACTCCTCGCCACAACGCGGGCGTCGCCCCTAAGCCCTCCAGCCCTTTCGCCCACCTCGCGCCTCGTCCCTCCACACGCGTCCTCCCAAAACACTCCGGGCCCTTTGCCCGCTTCGTTCCTCGACCCACCGCGGGCGCCGTCCCCAGGCCCTCCAGCCCCTTCGGGCCGCGACCCTACTCGCACACCACCCCGCGGCCCGCCACCTTCGTGGTGACGCAGCCGTCGGTGCACCTGGTGCGCGGCGCCGCGGGCTGCAGGCCCGGCCCGCGGCCCGTCTCACAGGCCCTGCCGCCGCCCACGCCGCCGCCCCGGCCTTTACCCCTGCGGGCCCCCCGCCTGCCGCCCCTGCCGCGCGCCAGCAGACCCTCCAGGCCCTCGGCTCCCCTCCAGAAACACTGGCGATAAAGCATTCCCCCACCTCCATCCCCACCCCACCTCGAAGAAATTTCATTCCTTAGAACGTAGCGCGTGTAATGAGTTGGTATTCACTTTTCAGCCCTTGGTGCTGTTGTATTTCTTTCCTATTGTATGAAGCAGTCTCTGACAATAATACCTTGCCCAGCATTGTTTCATTACCATCCATAGTTTGTTCGTTTCTTTAGTCGATAGTGTATTGGTAAAATATTGTGAAATTACTGATTTGATTCATCAAAGATAGATAATCATTCATAATTAATTTCTCATTAACTATGATGAGGTGAATTGGTACTATTTTTGAAATAGTATCAAGTATTTTGGTGAAATAAAGAATAAAATACCTATTAACTATCTTCTTACAAAAGAAATTGTCCGCGGTTCTAAAAATTGTCATACGTTCCTCAAATAAATTTACAACAACATGATCTACAAATTAGAGAATTAAATATTATGTAGTCATGGCTCTTCAAATAAATTTACAACTACATGATCTATAAAGTAGAGAATTAAATATTATGTACTCATGGCTCTATACCAGGAATACGCAAATCCTTTTCTTTGCATTGACTCTTTTTACATGGCTGGCATGCTTAATCAATCCCTTACAATTGTTTCTATAACATACAACTTTGAACATAATCAAATGCAATAAAGCAAATAAGCAAATGAATTTCACATAAACAACTTCAATAAAACAATACCCCATACCCAATATTTACGTAATGTATCAATTTTCATTAATGGGAGGCATGCTTCTGAGTAACCAAATTTCTAATCTTCATTGTGTACAATGGTTACAAAAGGCAGAGAATCAAGAGCATCAAGAATTTATCTCGGCGAAGGGTGGGGCACAGACTGTTCAGCTAATTTGATATTTTCTTATGAATGTTTTATTTATGCTAATTATAAAATCTATTTTTGATTGTTCACTTGCAGTTAATATTAAAAAATTAACATAATATATTGAATTACTTTCATTAGTACTCAAAATTAGTAAAAGCTATATTTTTTACTGGTGTCATTGGTGTGCCAAGATACATTGGGCATTTTTTTAAGAACTGACCTCTATTTTTCTGCAATGCATAAAGTAGTGAATATTTTGCCTCATTGAACAATGTGAATACATAGTTCTTGCATTTTCTAGACAACTTCACGAACGATGGTTTTAAATAATGAACAAATTTTAAATTTATTATAAGATGTTTTGTAGATTTATGATCCCCCTCTCGAATCTCTCTTTCGCTTTCTTCCTGTTTCCTCCTCTCTAGCAGACCCCCCAATCACCTTGCTCTCTCGCTTCCTCTCTTTCTTTCTCCCTCTTCCTCTCTCTCTCTTTTTCCCCTCTAACATTCTTTTACCCTCCCATTCTCTCTCTCCTCTCGCAATCCTTCCTGTCCTCTAACCTCGACCTCGCCCCGCGTCACAAGGCAACGCCCAGCAACAATGAAGCCTAGGTGAATTCGGAATTGCATTTAACTGATGCGCTATATTGAGCTGCATATTAGCAGCACAATTATACTGCGATTTATTTACAGCTGTCACTGACAGGTCATCAGCTGTTACGGTATCATCCAATCGGGAGCTTACACATCACTACAGTGAAATCACTATGATGACAGTTAACCTTCCAATGAGATGAAACTGATTTACATCCGACGCGGATCTAAATAAATCGAAGTATGTATTAATCGGGTTTTAATTGACTATTGATCACCCGACCGCCCCTAATCATTGATCCGTTGCTTTGCAAAGAAGCGCAATTTTGGAGTTACTGACAGTTCAATAACCGTGAAAGACATTTTTGGAATTCAAGAAATGTATTTTTCTTTGAAATTTTCTTTGATTAACCCATTGCAACATCCCAATGCACATTACAAAGTAGTGTTGCTTCAACAGCTCACACTTACTCTCATTCTTTTCAAATTTGCAATATTTGAAAATTCAAAGAGTTCAATGAAAATGAGACCCGAGCCATTCTTTTAAGCATTAAAGTTCCTTGTTCTATCCACGGAAAAAAAGTAAGGCAAAATTTGGAGTGATTTTTCAGAACATTTTTTTTTTAAATTGCATTAAATTTAAGCAGAAATTGCGCGAAAACTACACTATTTTTCAAATAATGTTTGCCGATGTTTTAGAATAGATGTTTAAGGCAAAAATCTTGATCTTCAAATTTGTAGTTTTGCGATGTTACCTTACTGACATTTTCGAAATTACTGAGCTTGCCAGAAATGGAACAGCGTCAATTTTTTCATCAGCCATTGATACACGTGACGAGAATATTTAAAACAAAATCATGGAGCAGTTTCTGATAAAATAATTCTTTAAAAACCGCCTAAATTTCATGCAAAATATTCATATTTTCGAACATTCTCTCAAACACACACTTCTTCGTAAGAAGAGAAAGTATTGTAATCGTGTGCCGATAATGACGAATTTTCAACAGCAAAACTCCAATTACAATGTCCTGGTAACTAAAAAAATTGAATAAAACTTGTTGCTACACACAAAAAAATACTTCATCTAACACGTTGTGTAGTCAGACTCCATTTTTTTGGTTCCAAGAACCGAACTATAGAAGTTATAACAGCATATACTTTCTCGTATTATTGGAAACAAATACCAAACATATGTTATAAGTTATCACAAGTGAAAATAAATGTGAACAATATAATTCATAATAAAATTAAATACGACGATAGTAACAATAGAGGACAGGAAAATTAACAAAGAAGTGAAGCGTGTTAAAGAATAATACAAGAGAATATGAACGTAAACGACAGCAGGGTAAATAGAAACTATTGCGACAAGTTGAAATTGTAACGTAAGGATATGTTAGCAAATTCCTTGGGGGTGAAAATAAATTAGTAAAATTACGACAAAACCAGAGAATAGGCAGATAAAGTACGTAAGCGTGAGTAACCAATCAGAAAATTGTGTTGGTGTAATCGAATGACATGCGGCGAAGAAGCACAAAAGATGCCTTTGTGTACTAGTTGGTGCAGTGCTCTGGGACAAATGAAGGGCGCGCAGAATGAACAAACGGGGCTGATGATGCTTAGACCCGGTGGAGATCGGATATGAGGATGATAATTTCGATGTTGCTGAGTTAGAATTAAAATTGTAACTTGTAATTTTAACGCGAGTTTTGAACGCGGGTGATAGCATTATGAATTAGAAATGACTTTATGATGAGTATTTATTAGAAGTGGAATTAGGAAAATATGTGCAATATATTACTACGAGAACTCTAGAAAATCTAGCAATTTCATAAAAATCTTGGGTGATTTCTATATTCCTTGGAAGCTGCACAAACTCACTATATGTGAAGCAGTACATTGCGCACCTCAATGAAGACTGTAATTACGATAAAAAATTATCCCATTGCAAAATCACACAGAGTGAGAAGTCGGTTCATTGGTGATACCAAGAATTGCTAACAAAACACAAAGTACAAATTTTATTATTTTGACATAAAATTAATTTAACAGGACCATTACCTTATCACAACATTACAGAAATATAAGTCGGAATTCACAATTTTTTTATTTGCTGTTCTATCAAAGACACAGCTTTACTAATTGTAGGCTTCCTTAACCTAAAACGGGATTTGCAATCTTGATCATCAAGGATCTCCAAATTTTCTGGCTGACATGTCATCTGGGCAGACACTCTAAACCATCACAGAATTCGTTGTCTATTACGTTGTCCATCTCGGAAATACCACAGCGATTCCTTCAAAATCACAGCAAGGTCACACACAAATTCTGTTATTTTGGAGTTATCTACCAGATAAACATTTAACAGCCTCTCCAATCTCCAGATTATTTACTGGATACTTTAACCACTCGATAGAATTATCAGGTACTCATAAAACACAAAATTTCAACACATCAGTAAGATAACTTCTGGATAGGCTATCAGACACTTAATCAGGCACCGGTGAAAGAGACCCTAAGACTGAGACCGACATCTACTGGAGAAAGTGAGTCACACCCCAGGAGTGTCAGAGTACCTCCTGCAAGGCGGAACCTTCTCGATTACGTCCCCAGACCCGCATCTTTGGTAGGCTTCCAAAAAAGCTTGCGTCGAAAACTCTAATGCGAAACACTGCCTAAGAGCAGTTCCCAGCTACAAATTCTGTACGCCAAAGAAAGAGATGGAAATGTAAAAACTCTCTCAGATAAAAGTACACATTGCAAATGCAACAGACGAGAATGAAATATTTTCTTAACAAAAATACCAAAACTTGGAAACTTGCCGCTCTCCCACATCACTCACTATACGAAGAGTTCACAGTTTACAACTTAAACATTAAACGATGTAAATTTCAAGTATATTCTGGTAAAGAATGTGAAAAAACTGTTAAAGAATCATATGCTATGAGCGAGAGGATGAAAAACCAGTGATTCAAAAGGGAAAGTGCTCAGGTGGTGTTGGATATACACTAATTCAAATCGAACAACATTCAGAAGAGCCTACAAATCCAGGCGACAACGCAGTATGGGAGGAGAAACAAAAAAGGAGGAAAGTGATAAATGTAGAGATGATGATAGCGACCGAAAACTGAATATGATTTTTTTAAAGAACAAGAAAAGTGTGAAAGTTAAATCAAGTTTTAACATTCTCACCAGCAAGATAATTTTTCGAGGCAATTTGCAATTTTATATTGACAAAATAGAGATAATTAGTTTAATTCTTTTTCATATTTTTAGGAGGCCTCTTGATATTTATAGAGCCATCTTATATTACAAGTCGATTTATATTTGGGTAAATACGGAAACATTTTTCAGATAACATTCACTTTTGCATTTTATTTTTATTACAGTTATATAAAATTAGTTGCTTGAAATACACTAAATTCATCCATCAGAAGTGAAGTTACCAGAAAAAAAACAAAAACAATATGAACAAAAGAGATAACATTCCTGGTATGGAGAGTATTTGCCAACATCTTTCAAAACCACTCCACCACCTGATGATTACACAATTTTCATAATGATGACAGCGGCAATATGAAGAATCATTCAATAATGTTATTGAATGTAGGCCTCACATTAGAAGTACAAATCCAATTTCAACTCATAGAACCACTCACGTTCAATCAGACACACTTCTAGAGCAATCAGTTTTTTCTAAGTCACAATCATTACAAGATAATAAGTTGCTTCTATCTGTTCTTTGTTTCCAAATGTTCTTGATACTTTTTCAACTCATGAATTTCAGCTTCCAAAGTTGCAATCTAAAATGAAATAACAAAAGATATCGTTTCATGCTGGTTTACAAAATTCGCTAAAACAATAACCATAATAATAATATTAACCATTCACACAAATATTCCTTTCAAGTAAACAGCCTAATACTCACATTCTGCTTATGTTTCAACTGAACTTTTTCTGGTGCTGAAGTACTATATCCTGGATGACTCGTGATCTTATATAATTTTTCTAAGCTCTTAAGAGCTACTTTATATCTTCTCATTTTTTCTTGGTATTCCTTTGACTCATCTTTCTTTTTCTGTTCAAAGCATACAAGGCAAAATAAAGTATTATTCACGGAATTATGTATTAGCACAAAATACTACTCAAGCAAGCAAACATTCCAGTAAGTACAGTTATTAGTATATTGTATATTATATGATATATGTAATTTAAAACTTTGAATGAAAGCAATTGTTGAAATTACATTACAAATTAATATATTTAAATATATCATTAATTCCATAGTTTTAGCTCATAACAAATTAAAACAATTTTCAAATTTTAGTACAATTCTTTTACTTTCTTCAGAGTCATAACTTTCTCTGCCATTTCCCATTTTTCCATGGGCACTTCAGTCTATCTACAGCTACCTATTAACCGATCTATTAAAACTGATTCTTAGTATCTTTTAATACTGATCCAACTTACAACTGTTTTGAGATAAATACTGCCTTTCCCATAAAAATCCATGTACATTGCATCATTTTTCATCTTTTCATTAACATGAGAAGTAACTTCAACATTTTTAACACCAGACAGAGTACATATTAAAGAAATGTGTTCCATGTATCGATGCATACTTTTAGTAGATGAACATTCAACAACACCTGAAAGAGAATTTTAAGAAATGTCTATTTTATTCACTTAATATTCTAAACGTCAAAATATTCCAATATTTCAATTAATTTTTGTGATTTAGTCCTACACACTTGAGGTAACTTGAACCATTATTGCAAATAATAATAATAATAATAATAATAATAATAATAATAATAATAATAATAATAATAATAATAAAGAAAAGACAAAAAGAAAAACTTCAATAAATAGATTTCAGCAAGGCCAAGACATTTGTACTTTTAAGGTTATCATTTTTTTTAAATAGATATTTCATGGCCATCATCAAAATAGGTATCAACATGAAAAATGTAATGAGATATTGTCAAATTTTAAAACAAATTAGAAACTGAAATAAAATAATTTTGCTGCTGACACTTAATATCATTGGCAATTTTGTAACAAATTACAAGTTGTTTGAATTTTTATTAAGATTCATTAAAGGATATTTCCTACCAAAAATTCAATTATCACCATCCGATTACTCAAATAAGCAGTATTTTCTAGCCCACAAGAAAAAGGGCAGTACCCTCAGATAAGTAGTAATTACCACTGCCTAAGTATGCAGACGCCCAAAACCTTAAAAAAAAATAGATCTAGCCACTCCATGAGAATAAATTTAAATAAATTATAGGGGCAAAATATAGTGGATTTAATTATAAGAGAGATTATGATCTAAAATATATTGTGATTAAATTAAATTAGAAAGAGAAATTACGATTCACTACAATGGCGGGCAAAAATAATTTGTGAATTTTAAAAGAGCGAGACTATGATTCCCTACAACACACATCCAAACATTAGGGAAAGCCACTACATTAACATCAAATTTTAAATAACCAATCAAACTAAAAAAAATTTCACTGGAATTTTTACAAGGTAAAGAAAACATATGATATTTGTATCATAACATTTTATTATACCTCTCAACTGGTTTTTACTGATTGATCATTTCATGTTTCCTGGCATGTCAACTGTTATGGCCATTAGTCTCATTAGTGTAGTGCATGATTCATCAGAGGATGTGGCAGTATTCCTTCCCTGCTGGTGAGATCCAGTGTCGACCTACATGTCAGCTTGCAGGGCTTTTCCCATACAGAGAGCCACCACCTCAGCCGGGAGAAGCTCTAAGCTACACACTGGTCTCTCGACATGTATAGTAGAGTAGTGCATGTAATTGTGTGTAAGTAAGGGGTGAGGTTAGGATAAGGAATAGGAAGGAAAGATCATTGTCCATTCGTGGCCTGTGTGTTAGGGTACTGATCTGCTCTTTGTGGCCTTGTGTTGATCAGAGAAACCACAGAAAATTACCAATCGAAGCAGCTGAACACTTCAATTCTCCTCCAAACAGACGCTGAATTTGACATAGCTCTCTAGCTAAGGTTGAAAATTCTGCCATCAGTTGAAATGTGAAAAATTTGGAGGACTCAAACCCTAGGACCTCCCAAACAGAAACACTGTCATGACATCATTTGATCCCCTGAGCCACTTAAGCCAGTCGACCATTATCAAATGTGGCCCCTCAACCTTGTTTGATAATTCCCCAATCCCATTTAGTTGTAAAATTACTAATTTAGCAAACAACTATTAAATTGTTTATTACCAAAAGCATTCTCTGTTTTCGTAATTCCATAAGTTGACTGCAAATGACGAAGACCAGATACCACCGATAATACATCTTGTATTTCTTCCTCAATATTCTCATTCCTCGAAGATGCCCACTGTATTCAGAAAGAATTAAAAATTATTTTATTTTATTAATTTACTAATCAATACATTATAATTAATTATAAACCACTTTAATATAATTATTATGTGTAATAACACCATAATTAATAACTAGACACATAAGAAAAATTGTAGAAAATAATAGCTATTAAAATGATTATATGGATAATGATTAAATGATGTATTACACTCTCAATCCTATGGACAGTTCTGATATGTCTTCATTTTACTATTGTGTCCTATCGATGTATGTCAAACATCCTTCTACATTTATAGTCTTTGACAGGCAATAAACATCTTTTGGAAGGCATCTAGAATGTGCTTTTAAAAATCATTATGGTGAACGCAGGACAAACACCAATGTGTGCTCCTATTTTCTGCAAGCATTTGGAATTTTTCTAGGAAGAGGTTGAATATTCATACTTGCGGGCACTGTCAATTACATTCAGAATGTCTTTATTTATGAGTAGTGTTCGTGCCATTAGCAACATATACAGATAGAAGGCATATTTGTAAACTTTAAAGCGAGTCTCAATATTCAAAGTTCAAGAGTTTTTGAATAATGGTTCAGAACTGGATTCTTCTGATGAGTACGTCGATTTTATTCCTGGATGGTTGTTTAGTTTGTGCAATGAAAATTATACCAAGGATAGTAATAACGCAAATTATTATATGGGTGGGTCTTCTCAAATTCAAGAGTTTTCATTTCCTTTAGAATGCTGTGAAATTGATAAACAATCTGAATTACCAGTGTTTGGGAAAACCAGTTAAATTAAATTTCCTGTACATGAATACTCAACTGAACTAGACTATTTTTTATCATTTTTTTACCACAGTATATTTCAAAAAATGAAGGCAAAAATAAATAGATATGCAAATGGAACTTTATTTGAACTTCAACAAAATATAATTGTAATGCTGCACCAGTATTGTTGACATATGAAGTTCACAGTGTTTTTCCTCATACATTGTAGCATTGTTACTTTCCGTAAAAATATAAAATTGACATGTGTTTCTTTGAATTCCATTCTCACAACCATCTTATAATCAAATGAACATAAAATATACATAGACTTAAAGAGAAAAGACAACAAGATTTTATAAATTTTCAACTGAAGTGAAAGATAATTTTTGTTATACATTTTGAATAACAGCTATATTGCCCAGAACACAGGAGTTAACCACATGGTGTATCCCTCAGGATTGAATGAGTTAACTGACAATGTTCTAGAACTTCAATAAAACAAACTCAAGAGAACTAAGTGAGATCAATGTAATAATAAAAGAATTCCATTATTCCTTTAGGACCTGGGAAGGCCATTTCTAACTTAAAACGTAGAAAAAAATGAAGCATTTATGATCTAAAAACAGTTAAAAAAAAATTCCAAACATAATTTTGTGAAATTGTTGGCATGAGCATGGAAAAGAATAGCATTTATTTAATTCTAATTCATTCAGAATTCAACTATCACATAATAGTTTAATAACTCCATGTAAACAAAGGAGAAAAATATAACATACAAGTTTTTAGAATCAGAGTACCACTTAATCCCAGATAGCCAAGAATACATACCACTTAATCATTATAACAGCTATTTTTAACAAATGCATCATGAACAAAACTACAAAGCGCACTGGTTAATGGAGGATTACTCCAAGCACAAAGCACTCATCACCTGCCAAGGGCTTGGAGATGTGTTAAATACTGAGAAGCAACAGTTTTTTTTTAAAAAAATTAATATTACCTTCATTACATATTTTCAAGGAAAATTAAAATGATTAAGAATAGTAAGTTAATACAGAATTTGCAAGTAATTTACAAATTGTTTGACAAGCTCAAGAAGTATTCCTTGTAAAGAAATGGATTATTGGTAAAGGAAAAGAGAAAGCACATTTAGTACATAAATTTATGTCATTTCAAAGTGCATTCACTAAACATCAGATTTATGAGTTAACCAACAATAAAATCACTACAAAGCTTATTGTATGAAAAATTAACAACCATGGAAGAAATACTTTTAGTGAAAATTCTCTTGTAATGCTTTGCATTAAGGTTGAAAATTTCAACAACAAAACATTTGTTGCAATTTTAATATTGTTGAGTCTTACCTCTTGTGAAGAAGGATATGAAGCAAGAGTAATTGTTTCCAAAGAAGCTTCCTTATTTCTCAGTGGAAGATGCTGGTACAAATGCTCAGTAATAAATGGCATGAAAGGGCTCAAAGCCCGTAATGCAACATCTATGCACAGAAGCAAAGTCTCAATTGTTCTGACAGAGGATGAATCACAAGCTCTTACAATAGGTTTAGTACCTTCCTGAACAGACATAGTAGCAATCACACAATCATTAGAATTCAAGGAAAGATATTCTTGAATATGAAAAAAAGATAAGAAACTAACATCATTGATAAAAATATCAATCATACCAGGTATATTGTGCAGAATTCATTTTGAATAAAAGTCTGTAAAGATTTAACAGCAATATGAAATTTGTAAGAATTGAGAGATTCTTCTATTTGTTGAATAAGAAATGCCACACGACTGATAATCCATTTATCAAATTTACTTGGTGGAGCACATTCCAAAGTTTCACTTTCAGCAAAAACATTTTTGTAACTTGTTTGTATGTACCGACAAGCTTGCCATATTTTTGTACAAAATTGTCTGTTTTTATAACATAAATCAACATCAAAATTTATTTGAGCATCTGGAACAAAAATTATTGTTTAAAATTCATTAGAATATTTCTATTAGTAAAAATGTAGTGTATTGTTTTCCTCAAATACATATTTTAAGAATATAAAGTTAATATTTTTCAATTATTCCTTCAACTTCATTTTTAATTTCAGGGAAAATACAGGCACGCAAACCTACAGGATGGTAATATGTTGAGAAGCAGTCTGAACCTAAAGGACTTCAAATACTCCACACCAAAAAGATCAGTTGGCCTAGCAGAAATATAAGAACTCTTTAAAAATTCTTTACTCCACAAAGAGAACTCAAGTCACATAACAGATCAGAACAAAGTACTTTAACTGGATGAAGCACTTTACTGTCTTGCTTAATTATTATTCCCTTCCCCCCCCCCCCCCCCATATAAATATTTCCTCCAAAGTTACACAAAGTATGATCTACTCTTCAATATCACAAGTTAGAAAGTGCCAGATATTCAATAACTTGTGGGGACTTGTTTTTGAATTTGTACAAAAATAAAACTTGATTTCAGAGACAGAATTCTTTGCTCAATTAACTTTTTTCAGAGAAATTACTTTTTTGAAACAGTTGGTTCAATAACTGCTCAAGACATTCTTAATATTCAGAATGTGATAATTTCTTTGAAATCAATACAGTCCTACCTTAGAAAAAAACATTTGAAAACTTGAATGAAATATGAATTTTTACTTTTTCCTCTAAGTAATAGAGGACATTGCAGAGATTATCCTATTTCCCTCCACACTATAGAGAAAAATAATGATGGACAGACATCTGAAGATAACTAATATCCAAAACACAATTTTTTCTTAAATACTGTGAACAACACTATCTACTAAATCATATTCATAAGTATCTCTAATGACAATTTACTCTTCATGAGAAGCAAGTAACCCTCGACCAAATTGTAAGTCTATATCCACCTATGACTGCTGATTCACAATGGCATTACAATCGGATTTTTGAAAATGTGTATTGTAATTTTCTTGTAAATCTGACAATTTATCGTAGGTTTCAAGACAAAGCAATGCAACAATATACATATAAACATCATATAAGAACTATATTTAAGTTCAGTAATTTTGCCAAACACCGCCATCTCATATTTCAATAAATGAAATAGTCATCTTTACTTACTTGCTATGTTAATGGAACAGAGAGTAAACCTTAGAGCATCACTACCACACTCTGGAATTCCATTAGGAAACCTCACCTTATTACTCTCCAAAGTTTTCTTTAATTCTGCAGCAGAAATAAGCCCAAAATCATAATTTGCATGAGCATTTTTTAGTAAACTCTGTAAAGAAAGAAGAAGTCTTATAATACATTATTGTTTTCAATGAAAGTATCTATTGGTTTTTAGAAACGATCAAAAGCAGTATTTGCATTAGCAATTATTGAAGTAAAAAAAAAGTAATTCATTAAAAAAAGTTATTGATGTTTAGTGTACTGGCTGCAGATATCACGTTAAATGTGTTAAAATCTGAAAAGACACAATATGTATACTGAACATTAAAAAAATATCATGATAATAAAGATGGTTTCAAAAAATGTAAACAATATTTTTAAAATTGAAGAAAACTAAATTATTTTGTGAGCACAAAACACAAGTAGGAAAAGGTGATCATCAGCCACAGGCTGGCACTGGGCCTACCCACTCTATATTTCAAAACTTTATCATCCCATACTTTTATTTTTAGATTCCAATTATCCACTTTATGCTGTCTTATGTGTATTGCATCTGCTTTAAGAAAATTATGAAGTTTAAAATAGAATTCACACCATTGATTTTACTATACTATCTAGCAATGGAGATTTACCTTTTAACAAAATTCCAATGGTTTTCGAAATCATATGTCATGCAATTACAGCCATTTAGTTAGAACTCCATATTCTATACAGCAGTCTGCAGGTAGCATTTTCAAATATTTCTACCCACCTCTGCAGCAGCACCAATTATGACATCTTGAGGATCAATCACATTTCCTAAACTTTTGGACATCTTTCTTCCATAAGAGTCACAAACTACGCCATGCAAAACCACATTCTGAAAATTATAACAAGAATGTAAAAAGTAAAAGTGTAACCAACAACAGGTACCAGATATGTTTTTCAATGCAATAGAAATTTGGGCACATTGGTTTGGATTCCTATGAATGCAAGAGAACAGAAATGTGATAGGTGTGCTAAAAAAAATACCTTGTTTGCTTGACTTTCAAAAATTTTAATTACGGTATAATTTCAAAATCAATTCAATGCAAAATTTCAAAACTTTTAGAAATTAGTTAGTTAATTTCTAATCCAGATTTGCAAAACACATGCTTCTGTGACCTGCATTCAAAAGCACAAGGGCTGCAAATTGTGTGTCTCCCAAGCGAGGGCAACACAGCACATGGATTGAATGCTTGGGCATCTAACGCAATGATTCATGCAGTGAAATAATTTGCCAACTTATTTAAATAGGTAATGTCTTAGATTTCTAGATACAAGGGCCATATTTTACATTTATATTCTGCATACTGCTATGAATCAACATATTTTCCTATTTTCATTTTTTTATTTTATGCTCACTGTAACCCTTTATCGATATTTTAAGCAGACGCCTTTTTAAAAATATATTATATAATTCAAACTAACAAAAATTTACAATTTAATAGCTGGTTTTCAACAGACATCTCTCACAACAGAAATCTCAAAATGATAGCAAAAGCAAAATGAAATCCTAACGAGCATATGTCTCTGTATGCTATGGGCAATAGCGAGTTTATTACGAGTCTTGTTAAATTGAATGCAATGAGCTTAATAGTTTTTATACAATGTCTCAAACAATTATGAATAAATAGTGTTTGTGGATTTGATATTAGGAATATATAATAACTTGTCAGAAATTAGAGCATAAATTAATCATGATTTTTTAAGAATAAGATTTTTTAGCTTTTATTGAAGTGCCTAATTTAATTAAACATAGTTAATCTAAAAAAAATGGTTTATTACTGTCGTCTTCAAACAAAAACGATTCAATGTAACAATTTTGAGTTTAGCACCATATTAAACGTGTGATTACATCATAGCAAAATGAATTACTTCATCATCCCTACAAGCAATTATAGTGCACCACAGAAGTCTCTCCGCAGTTGCATCTTGCTGGTGAGAGTACTTGCAACAGAAATTATGTTGGTAGCATGAGGTGCAGCTTGCAACAAAAGAAAATGTAAATTGCATACTCACCACTGTCATAATAGATACTGAAAATGTTGTCCCTTTCACTTGTTTCCCAGTCATCTGGTTGCTACCATCACAATTTCAATTTTTCATAGGAGGCTCTGACTCAATTTAGTGTGGAGAGACTTTCCTGGTGCACTATATAGTTCTTTGTTTCCTAACAAATATGTAGTCTCATTCATTACAGGTTCATATTTCACAATGCCCTCTATCGATAACAAACCTTGTCAATACAATGCAAAAGGCAATATTACTTGCACTATATGTAAGACTGTAATATTCTCACTGACTACATTTTCAATTTACGTGCTATTCCTTAATTGCGTATTTTCATGGGTGGTCCCCACTCTTAGAATGAGTCTCATTTCTACTCTTCCTTGTCCACATCTGCTCTTGAGCAGCTCACGCGTCACTCCCTACGTCAGTGAAAGTGAAAAGAGCTGTACAGACCCGTTCTAATCCTGACTCTTTTCTTAAAATTGAGAAACCAAAACTCCCTAAAAAACTAAATCCAGACTTAAGCCATAAAATTAATTAATTAATTTATTAATTAATTAATTAATTTATTTATTTGTTAATTTATTTATTTATTTATTCTTTCCCTGCAAGACATATTCATCATTTTAGTCCATTTTAAGCACATGAAACTTTTTTTCATTTCACCACAGTCCAATGAAATCAATATGAAAGTCTGGGAAGTGCAATAGAGATATGAGAAGAAATGCTTGAGCATACGTGAAATCCAAGCATTTTTAAGTACCAAATACTCAATGAAGTTGAAAAATAAATTATGAAAATATATTTCTAAGAATTACCTTAAAAGGAAGTTTTCCCGTGAGGTAGGTGCTTAGCATAACCATACGAGCAACCCAGAAGAACAAAATGTCATGGCCAGTTTCCATCACACTTAAAGGATAAAAGTCTTTCAAATCACTTGTCTGGAAGAAACAAAATACAAAACAAGTGAAGCCATGGAAAATCACTAATATTCCTTGGGCATTCAAAATACCAACCAGAATGTGCAAATTCTCCTTGGTACCTTTTAAGGACATGATTGAGTTTTATGCGGTTTTAAGTTTTTTATTCAGACATTTTACTTATTGAACAGAATTTTTTTATTAGAAAATAGAACCATCAAATACCATAAAAGTGGGTGACATTGGATATTTTGTGAGAGTTGATCGTGTCCCTCTCTATTGATATTGCTCTTTTTTTTAATGTTTAATTAAATATTATTAAAAACAATAGGTTCTAGTGCTTCAAGGCAAAGTGTTGAAAAATTTCTTGAATTTTCAAGGAAAATAAGGCAGTATCCAAAGTCACCCAACTTTGATGTGTGACAGAGGGTTTTATTTAATAGTTTCTTTTTTTACTTGTGTAGAGTACTGTGACACAATGAAACTTCTTAGAATGCCAAAGGGTGAATACCAAAGTTTTCTGACCATATCACCTAAATAACATCATTTATAAATTTTATACTGGGGATACAAATTTTAAAATGTCCAAAATCACCTGCCTTACGGTACTCATTTTTGGAGGTATAATTTTTCATCAATCTTTAAATATTTACTTACAGATGTATTATGTTCCATCAGACACACTTGATTTTTGGGTAGAATCCAGAAGTTTAGGAAACTGTCTCGTTGATGTTATCATTTTAATATTTTTAATAATAAGAAACCTTATTTGGGCTTTTACAAGTGCGTTAGATGATTTTTATTTAACCTATTTTTGCCTTTTTTGTAGGCTTTGATACCTACTTCAAGTATTTTGCCCTATTTTTAACCCATTTTCTTTCTTTCCTTTTATTTCATTATTTTCCTTTTTCTCACAGCACCAATCAGATCAATCCTGAAATGTGTCTGCAAGCCTTGACAATACACTAGTAATGTCACATTTTGTCTTTTTCTGCAAGTGGAGGCATGATATCAGACAGTAAGTACCGTACTTGGTCTCCAGGGTCAGGAAATATTAATATTTTCTTGGTGAAAACCAGACATTACCAATCAAAACTATTAGGGCCTACATCAATGCCAATGATTCAGTAAGGCCTCTGTAATATCTCAATAATCTCAAAGATACCCATTTACTACCTGCCACCTGCACCAAACACGCTTCAGTAAAACAAATTTGTTGAGAAAAAGTAATAACTTTTTCTCAACAAATGGATTATTTGACATCACATTTGCTTCATCAACTGACATTTCATACACTGTCTCAAAAATTCTGAGACATTCCACTGTTCATGGAAATTTTAACACACAACAACCAATTCACTACTCATGGATGTGAGAACCGTTTTAAAAGGAACAGCTGATGACATATCACATCTATGACATCTTTTGAAGACAGCCCTTTGTGTACATAATACAACAAGATTCAGCTCTGTGCTGGCTATTACAGGGGTTCAATGAAATTAAAGGCAGTTTTTCAATAATGTAAACCAAGGATTCAATGAAGAAGAGTTCAATCCACACACACTTTGTACAGAAAGCATTGCAAATACAAGTTCATAGTCATTAGGCTGAAATTTCATGTAAATTGAGAAGAATTTTCAGTAGTGAAAAATATTATTTCTGATAGATGACCAAGTTTGTACAAATGTGAGAAAAATCTGATAGTTCAATACATTCAAGATTACAGGAAGATAGTGTATGTTCCAATGGAAATTTCAATGTAACAATAAAAATTTTAATAATTCAAATCATTATGAAATTGTTTTGCCTTTAGATAATTTTTAAATGTATTTGTCATATCCTACAATCTTTCTTTGCCTTTTGCAACCCTATTTTAAAAAAGAATAAATGCCTTTCTCTCACTTATTTGAGTAAAAATAACATGAGCTACTAGATTCTACTTATGAGGCACAGTTGTATCAGCAGAAAGTTTTTAATTTTATTTTTTGTCCACTATACATTTTCTGCAACACACTGATTCACTGAAAATTTTGTCAGGCCAGTATGATACTCAGAGAGGTTCCTGAATAAAATAAGTAGCACCTTATTTCAGAAGCCTTTTGCACAAATTCCTTCTTCTATCATGAGTCATTCATATCCTTCAAAGGCAAATAATTACCTTGCAAATATTAATTGAAGGAAGAACAAGAGAATATACTAAATGCCTATTTTAATCACTAACTACACTAAATATTCACAATAAAAATTAATGCTATTTTCTTGCTTTACTTTTTGGACAATATAATCATATTTAATATGTTACAAATTTAAACAAATCTTAACAAAGAAAATTAAACATTCATAATTAATTATTAAAAACATGACTCTGCCATTTTTCAAAGCCTGTTAATTGTTCTTATATGTTCTCATACTACATCAACACAAAGTTATAGTGACTTTTATTTTGAACTTTATAAAAATAAGAAAAACATTATAGTTTATCTACTGGAAGTGACTGCTCATTCTACTTAAAATAACATACCAATCTGTCAATGAGTCTGAGATCATTTGTTCTAAATTACACTAACCCAACAATTAACGTTTGAATACCTCTTGTGGCCAGCCCAGAGAAGAGAATGGTAACAAAGCAGAGGAGAACCATGTGTCCAAAACATCAAGATCCTGCACTATGTTTATTCTTTCTCTGTCTTCAGGATTCAACTTCAACTTCAGAACGGCAATGTCCCTTGCTTTATCAATATTCTCTGCAGCTACCCACACTGTCTTAGCAGATTCAGTGAAAGTACATTCATAGGCTGGAATTCGATGACCCCACCACAATTGCCGAGAGATACACCAATCTCTAAAAATTTAAATGTTTGGAATAAATATAAAATCAACTCTTTTTTGGGTTATTATTTATCTGTTCAATCTTTCTCATATTTTTTGATACATGCAGAACAAATTTACATTCTGGGTTCATACACACATACATGCACATGTACTCATACAAATACATCTATAAATACTCACTACTCTTGAAAGACATGAAGTGCTTCCGACAGTAACGAAAAAAAGCCACACCAAACGCAGCAAGTGTGTGTGCATACATGTGTGTGTGCACTTACCTATGAGGTATAGTTAGGGATTTTTTTCTCTTTTCTTTTTTTTAACAAGATTAAGTGGAAATCTACAAGACTCTGGCTCGTCCATACTACTGAGTGTGTGGAAATTTTACTCATGAAAATCAAACCTCCCTTCTTCTCCATCCTTCCTATCTATAGGTGTTACATGAGAGGGGAGAGGAATAATGACTCAGTGTCATGACATCTCTTCCATAATCTTGGTAGTTGTTAGGAGGGATCAAGAACTTTCCATCCTTTCTTTTTGCAGCCATCTTAGTTTCAACATGACTAATAGCGAAAAATTGTGCACTGCCCAACAATAGGTTTCAGAGGCAAGTCTGTTCGCGACTATGATTTCATGAGTTATCAGGTCAATCCCAAGCATCTCAATGAAATGTCTTCGAGGATGGAAACTCGGCACTGAATAAACACATGCTCAGCATCCATGTTTCACATCAGAAAACAGTACGAGTCATCTTCCAGTTTGAACCTGTGCTTTAAGCAGCCATCAGAAAGAGTGAGAGATAATGTTTCCTTCTGTGCTTCTGATTGATCCGCAATTCAACTGAATGAATCAGGTAATAGGGCCATCTTCTATCTCAGGAAGTGTCTCATCGATGCTATGTTTCTCTCTCTCTCTCTCTCTGGTTCCAACCAGTCCTGTGTATTGACTCCCTCACCATACAGCCTCTGATGTTTATGAGATAACATTTATAGGGGGCATCCCGCAATGACATATACCACTTCATTTGAAACAGTACAGAAGGTACATGCCATCCAGAGAGCAGATAGTCTATATACTTAACCTCTGGTACCCATTTGTGTGGCCCAAACTGGGGTTCCTTATAGAAAACTTATATCAGCAAGAAGCTTTCTCTTCCCATGACTAGGCCACCCAGTGTCCGTCATTAGTCTCATTAATGCTGCATTGACTTCTGATACTTTCTTGCTAGCATAATCCAAGTGGTCTCTTAATGACAAGCGTGCTCTCTTAAGGCCGAGGTATTTGAAGGATGATTGTGAAGAAATTTGGTTACCACCACACTTCAGAGTGGTGGATTATCTTCTCATTCTGCTAGTCACAAGAATCACTATGTCTTGTGTTTAGCAAGCTGCAATCCTACAGGTTCCAGCCTTCAACTGACAATGGTAATGGCTTGATTGCCAATACACATCTCCTGTTCTATAAACTTTGTGTTTGCATCTGTCGTCTGTGAAGCCATCAATCTTGGCTCCACCTAAGAAAGGGAGCCTACTATTCTCGTCACCTTACAGTAAGGCCTAAAATGCAACTTATGAAAAATATTACTATATTACTGTCACATGCACATATGTACTCAAAACCAGTATTATGATCTCTTTTTTTATTGGCAATTGTTGTTGGAAACAAACCCAGAATTATTTACCCAATGTATACAGTAATAAGTGACTTGTCACCGTTTGCAATAATAATAATAATAATAATAATAATATAAATAAATTTTAAAAAAATACTACTCCCAGAGATTCTGCCAACATTTTAACTGTAGATCTAGATTGTGATCTTTGGACATTGTGAGTGACTTGCGCTACTATTTCCATAATTTAATATTTATTTGTTCTATATTCGTTATTTCATGACTTGCAGTGCTTTTAGATTGTTACTACTTAGTTTTTTCCAATCTGCTTTAGCTACATTAAAGTGTCTCTTCAGAACTAATTTAGTAGCTGTGCCATTGATTTCATCCTATTTCATATCATTTTCTCTTCTAATTGATAAATTGTGTAATGTTTATACATATTTTAATTAAACTAATATAAAGGGATTGTTAACATTATAAAATTGTAATAGTTGGTCATTTGATATTATTTATATAATTTTGCTTTTAGTTGTTTGGTTTACGTTTTTCACTATATAATACTGCATTTACTTTAGAGCATTATATTTAGAGTCATTTCTCAAAAATGGAACAGAACCACATCCTTAAATTTTTCTGTGCTTTTACACGTAACAGTATAATTACTTTTTATAAAATATTATTGGTAAATAATGTACCAGTTAAAAATTGCATACTCTTAAAAGTTGGAATTTTGGATTTTTCCAAATTTTCAATTCAATCTCTGGTGGGGCAACAGATAAAAATGTGAAAATTGCACATATGCTATATCGCTGTGATAATAAACTTCAGTAAAAATTTCGACATTTGGATTTATCTCAGAGCACTTTTTAAGAAACTTAGGAGAAAAAAAAAAAGGAAAAGAAAAGGCCTAAATTTCAAATTGAAGATATGTTGTGCCAAGTAGTTATCATACTATTTTGAAGCAATTTTGAATCAAAATCTACATTGATTTAAAATAATTAATAATACTTTATTATTAATAAACATAAAAGTGATCTAATATATAATTTTCAAAATTACATCTACTTCTTTACTACTTTAAAACAAACTTAAAACTTGACATCTACGTTTGTAATTGAAAATGGGATTATCTTTATGCGAAAAGATGAATCGGATAATATAAAAATTCTTATAGAATATAACTAATAATTAAATTTAGCATTTTTTTTTATTTTTTCGCATTTAAATTTGCCTATCTGCTAATTGTTTCTGAATGCTTTTGCAGATACACACTTCAATCGCACAGTACTCCTTAGATGCAATGATTGCGACTGAATTTTAGAATAGCATATTGGACACAATCAATAACATAACGAAAGAAGTGCAGGCTCACACATCAAATGTTTGCCTGGGCTCCTTTATAAAAGTGGAGAGCAAACACAAGTATTAGTACCTTAAATAATAAAAATATCCCCTAAAAATAACACCCTCTTTTACCAGGGCCCACCCACATTGCGGGTCCGAATGTTACACCACTGGACACAATGATTTACCTGGTATAAGATTGTCCACAAAATTGTTATTATTGTAATAATGAGCCAAAATTATCTCCCTCAATCCCGTTTTTAATGATTTTTGTAAGGATCTGAAAAGGTTTGGAAAAAGAGATGACATTTTTGTAAGTATTTCATCTCATGATACTTTCAAAGAGATGTGATATTCCTTAACGAAAACAACACTTTTCCCTCTGTTCCAAAGTCTTCAACTGACATAATGTCCTTAGGAAAAACTTCATAAACAGAATTATGGCAAACTTCATTAGTAAAAGTACCTATTCGACGTTCACATTCCATTTTGATAAATGGTCACACAACTATGCTCAGGTACAGAATCATGTTTTGATGGAAAGGGAAGACAAAAAAAAGAGCTTTCGAGCTTTCTTAAAAAGAGCTTTCACATAAAACTAAAATATGAAATTGTTACTGAAGTTTATTATACAGCAATCTAGCACATGTGCAATTTTCATATTTTTATCTGGTCCTCCTGGAGATATTAGTTAAAAATTTGGAAAAAACATCCAAAATTCTAATTTTTAAGAGGATATAATTTTTAAGTGGAACCATGACCTCTTCCGTATTTGTAGGCAAGAGTACACTGAATCCAACACTTTTTTATTCTAGAATACTAGAACAACCCTGAGCAGAGTAGTTTCAAAAATAGTAAATGTCTACAATCACGAAAAATGGCACATAGCGTAAAACAAAAATGGCCACCAGGTACCATAAAACCAATTACAATAAAAAAATTAAAGGTATTGAACAGCCAAAACATACATAAAATTATGTACAAAATGCTTTTTTTTTCGAGATGGTTGAACGACCAATTTATTACATTCTCGATCACTTAAAATGGATTGACCCTATACATATAACCATAGCCCTGAAGCAGGCCAAAGCTGAAACATTGGCACATTAAAAAAAAAAAAAAATTATTGACTTGTCCTCACAATTCTCCACATTCATTTGTAATATGAGATCAAGATCAATATAACCATGAATTATTTTTTTATTTTATGCAACTAATTTATTACTTACTCCATTTCATTTTATTAAGTTATTTTAAAATTAGTAATGGCTCAATCCCGGACATGGGTTGGACCTATTTTTGTATAAAAATCACGTGAATTCAAAGTTAGCCTCAATGGAAATTAACATTTCTGGTTATGAAAAGAATTAGTGGTTGAATGGACTCACATCACCCACATCTTTGTTCCATCATCAATGGCTGAATTAATGCAGGTAAGTGAATTCCATTTGTGTTACCTGTTTTAAATTGTTAGCTGTTTATAAGATAACTTTCCATAATTAGATATTCATTGTTGTTGATTATCATTAACATGAAATATTAATAAATATAATTATATTTTATAAAGTTATTGTGTGTTTATAGGTGTGTACGATCTCACATATCCAGTTGTAGTATCACATGCAGATGCAAAAAATAAAACAAAAACCTTTTAGCTCATGTGACAACAAAAGAATGTTTTGTCACACATTTGTTAAGGATGCTACTGCAATCAAAATTTGCAAAAGTAATATCAGATCCTCCTAAGAAATTACTAATAATTTATTGAATGTTGACATTATTTTATATTTTATTAAACCATGCTGTATTATCTATAATTTATAATATAATCATAATACCCTTCATCTCTGATTGTCAAATGCTTTAAGGATTACATATTGAAAATTTCCCAATAATAATTCTATCAACTTTCCTCGCTTACCTCTTATGATTATGTAGTTGCCCCAAACAGAGATCTATCCAGCAAAATTGCAGACATTTTTATTAGTGTGAAAAAGCAATCCATGTGACACAAGACAGAACCACATACACTCAGTTCTGCTCTAAGCTGTTGGGAAGGGTAATAATTTTTAATCAAAAGTTGGGCTTCCAGCGAAGAGTGATCTAACCAGACTCTCCAGATCCAACAACCCTGCACGATGGTGGGCACTGCTACTGTAGGTTCAGATACGACATTGCAATTGGGTCCTTGCTGTTATGTGTATTCAACCCTAAGGACCTTATCATTCGTAATATTTCACAGCAATGGACAGAACACTGAGCTTTGCTGACCGACTGATGTAGCGTGCCTTGGGACCATCATCTGTATTGTACACTAGGATCCTGTGACTAAGGTACTCAGCCACTATAATCAAATTTGTTGGTATCTTACCAGTGAAATCAAGCATTCACAACAGCCAAGTGAGACAAGGGCTCTTTGGGAGATTTTTCCCTTCTGGAAAAAACACAGTCTTTTCTATCTCCCTGAAACAATCCTTTCTCTCAGACAAGATTAGAGATTCGAGAAGACTTTATTAGGAGTGGATTTTGTAGTCTTGAGGGCAATTTTGGGAATACTATCTGGTCCTGGAGCCTTGGGTTTACCGATTCTGGTGATTAGTATTATGGTACAGTAGCTCATCCATATTGTCTGGTATTATCATTTCTGGCTCAAGTGGTATTATGATGTTCATTATCCCTACCAGGGTGGTGTGGGTACTAAGTTTTCATAATTCACAGAAGAATATTTGGAGACAGAGTATGTCACCTTTTAAACTTGCCCACAACGGTCTTGAATGGCCTAACCCATATTGCCAATTACACATTTTTTCAGTGTTAAGACATTTACTTTCCCATATTGAGCTCTTCTCTTGATTGTGAGGGTGAAAGTGCAAGTTTGTGAGTGAATGTGTGCATATGAGAGTGTGTGAGTGAATGTGGCGACGTGCAAGTGTGTATTGTAACGACTCAAAATTAAGATTTTTATTTTGGCCATATTTAACATCAAGATCATGAGTAGGCCTATAGACATGGGCTACTGGAATGAAATCATAAGTTGGCAATGTTGAGGTCTTAGAGTCTGCCGACCTGAAAAGTCAGGCAGAAACCAACAATCAGAAAGAAATTATACACATTCTGGCAGGAGGACAATAAGTTTAATAGAACACTTCAGTCAGAGTAATGTAATTCGATGAAGAATTTGATGGAAGAAATGTTATTTCATATCTGTGGTGCATTTAAATATTACGAAAAATTAAATGGACTAGAATATTTAGGAAAGTTCATATAGTAAATTGTATACATGGAATTGGACCTAAAAAGACGGCCTTGAATGGACGTGTATGAGTGAGCGAGTGAGCATGTGTGTGAGCAAGTGTGTGAGCATGCGTGTGAGTGTGCGTGTGCGTACGAGCATGTGCGTGTTTCACCAAGAACGAGATATTAACGTTCAGTTGTTTTTTTTTTTGTTTTTTTATGCACCCCAACAATTTCAGACAGACAATTCTTATATTGTAAACATTTACATCTCTCCATTTAGAAATGTCAATGTTTACAATATAAGAATTATCTGTCTGAAATCGTTAAGGTGCTTAAATAAAAAATACAATAATAAATAGAGACACACTTACATAAAATAAAAAAACCTATTAACATTTAGTATGAATAGTGGAAGTCATGCTGTAGCTTGAAGTGGTTTCTGCCCTAAGCCCATTAAATAATTAATTCAATTCTTGCAGATGATACTCAACCTGATGTTACGTAGCCATGTAAACCAAACATTATTATATGAAGAAGGAATAATAAGAAGTTCCTCCTTTTCAACAGCAGCTATTGCAACTTTAGCCATTTCTTGACATGAAAGAAACCTGAAAAGAGAAATTTCATTTTAATATGTAAGCATGCAACATACATTACAAATATTGTGGGGAAGAATAAAAAAATAACTATATACTTCATTTGGTAACCCCCTGAATTCCTACAGCACATAAGAGCAAACACACAACTCTGCCACTATATTGCAGATACAATCAAATGATAAGTACATTGCAAATGCACGTAATAAAACAAAAGCTATGTGGGACATTATTAAAAAGACGACAGCACCAACTAATAATAACAGAAAAAATATAGAGCTCCACTACAAAAACCAAACTGTACAAGACCCACAAGAAATAGCTGATATATTCAATGAACACTTTTCACAAATCAGTAATAAGTTAATCTCTCGACACTCTCTAAACAATAAAACACACCAACCAAACACTAATATTACACAAATTGTAAATTCCATATTTTTATATGAAACCACCCCTCTGAAATTTTTAAAATCATTGGACAAATGGAGAATAAATTCTCAGCAGGTAGAGACAACATTCCAGATTTTCTTATTAAACACAGTGCTCCATGTATAGTGCAACCACTCTCTCACATCTGCAATTACTCTCTAAAATCAGGCATATTCCCATATATATTCAAAACAGCAAAAATTAAACCATTGTTTAAAAAGGGCAATAGTTATGATCCAATGAACTACAGACCTATCTCCCTGTTATCAGGATTTTCCAAAATTCTGGAAAGGCTTTTCAATGATAGACTCAAACAGTTTCTCAATGCAAATAATGTCCTTACAAATGCACAACATGGCCCCAGGAGTAATAGATTCACAGACAGAGCCATCTTCACCTTTTTAAATGACATACTTGTTGCACTAAATCAGAAGGAAATTCTCATTGGCCTTTTCTTAGATTTGTCAAAAGTCTTTGACATCATTGACCATCATATATTATTAAGAAAACTAGAAATGTTAGGGATTCAAGGCATTGCAGGCCAATGGATCGAACTGTAGCCAAATAGTTGCCTTCCAGCACACTAAAGAAAACAAAATCTTCTCATACTACCCCTGCCCTTAAATAATAAATTGTGGAGTCCCGCAAGGATCCATCCTTGGGCCAATACTATTTCTTATATACATAAATGTCAAGCCTTTGGCTTTAAGGAACAACAAAATAATTTTGTTTGCAGATGACACAAGCATAATCATCAAAGCAAAAACACAACAATCATTAGAAAAAGAAACTCACAAAACTTTGCAAGCACTAGTAAAATGGTTTCAAAACAACAAACTCATCATAAACACCAGCAAGACAGTCTCTCTAAATTTCATGAATCCCCAATCTAAAGAAAAACTTTCAAAGCATTTGCTCATAAACAATAACCCTGTAACGATATCTCATAAAACTACCTTCCTCGGACTAACAATTCAAGAAAACCTAAAATGGTATGCTCACATCTCAAATCTTAACAAGAAGCTCAGCAAATCTTGCTATGCCCTATACACCCTCAAGTCAAGCTCCAACATTGAGACACTTCGAACAATGTATTTTGCAAATGTGCATTCACACCTAAAATGTGGAATAATATTCTGGGGAAATGCCCCTGAAAGCACTCGCACATTTATAATCCACAAAAGAATATTGCGAACAATGACCAGCACTTATAAGCTGGAGTCTTAGGTGCTGCAGTAGGACTACGTGTACAAATTGAAAGAAAAAAAAGAAAAAAACTGCTCAAAACTTGCCTCCTCACCATTTCAAGTTTTAAATATAGAATGTACTAATATTGTTAAATTTTATGTAGTTGCTAACAGAATTGATATGCATTGTTCTAATATTATTATTATTGTTATTGTTATTCTTATTGTTATTGTTAATTATTATTATTATTATTATTATTATTATTATTATTATTATTATTATTATTATTATTATTATTATTATTATTAAAGTAGTAGCATTAAAATAACATCTTGAAATGTTAAATTATCTGCTACTGAAAATAATTATCTACTGTATTATATCCTAATCTATCTGTAACAAGTATTGTAGTATAGTTTCCAGGCCAATGACCCCATCTCGATCAGGTTTTGTTCAGTTTCCCTGGTCCCTTGAGCTAATGCTGAAATGGCCCCTTGTTTGCTCCCGAACAGTAATGTAACTTCGCTCTCTCCACCCAAGAAATCATACTGACTCATCATACACAATTGTAATTGTATATGTGACTCAATAAATATCATCATCATCATCATCATCATCATTATCATTATCATTATCATTATTATTATTATTGTTGTTGTTGTTGTTATATTTATTGTTGTTGTTATTATTATTATTATTATTGTTATTATTATTATTATTATTATTATTATTATTATTATTATTATTATCAATCAAACACTGATGTACATGTTAACTGTTGTTCACTGTTCATGTGGAAGGCATGATATTAGAGGAAGAAGAAAAAAATGTGTGACCTTTTTGAAGAGAAAAATAGGTGTGTAACGCCGCATTTCTCAAAAAAAAGTTATCTTTTTTGTTGGGAACTGGTTGGAAATGTAGTTTGCTGGAAGTATTGTCTCAATCGAAAATGATGCTGGTATCCCAAAGTTGATTAGCAAAAATCCTGCTACTTCCACTTGAGTGCAGTTCTTGTGCTCAGCAATGCTGTCCTGCTAGGGTGTGTGAAGTAGTTAGGTATCATTAAATGCCTACATTTTGAATGAACTTGTTCCTCTTGATAGAGTGCTCAAGGCTATTTTCTGAATAAAGGCTAGTTTGGTTTTCAGACATGTACTTGTTAATAAATGAGACACAGTACCTGACACTGCCTAGGTATTGAGTTTTCATCACTATGAATCACTTCCAATAGTGAAGCTTAGATGAACCTTCTATCTTCACAAATGGTGTGCTGGACATCTTTCTGACAAGACATACTTCTCACTTGCTTAGGTTGAAAGATTCAGCAAATATGTTGGCAGATATTTCACAGGATCTGGACCCACCTTCATTCCGCTTTCACAGCATGTGGATCTTGATAAACAGCAAACCTCTTGAAAATTCTTAATTGTGGTTGCAATGAAAGTTTTTTAATAATATCTTTGTTTCCAAGAAATGATCATCGCTACACATCCGTTTCTAATTAATTGGATTCAGAATGTATTAACCAATATGTTTGTACTCCATTTTCAGATCTTGATCTTTGCAAAATAATGAGCTTTGAAGATAACACTTGTGGCAAGTGATGACATATCCAAAGTGTGGTTTTGTGTCTGCCACATTGTTTATTATAACTAAATCATATTTTGAGTTAACCTTTTGCCATCTCTCTTCTCTTGTGCTTGGAATCATGGCTATATTATTTCTCGACATAATTTGTTTTTGATGTTTAGGAAAATGCCTATTTTATTCTAATGAAAATATTTAGAGGCCATTAATATATGCATATGAATGATGCAAAATTAAATTCTGACAAGGTTTTTTTTTTTAATAAATGCTTTTTTCCTTTAGTCTTAGTTAAAAATACACATTTAAATCATTTTCAGTTCTACTAATCACATTAATTGTCTTCTGGTAAATCTCTATTTTTTTGTCTAGACTGAAGCTTTCATTTTGATTTACACATCAAATTGAATTTTTTGATCCGAAAGACTTGCATTGTGGCTTAAGATCACATATCTTTGCAATATTTAAAAAAAAATTAAAAATACAGGTGGTGGGCTCTGGGCACTTGTATGTTAGAGGACAAGGTGATGATCCCGAATTCTGACAATGATATTTTTCCATGCTGATGTTCATCTGGGAAGTGCACAGTTTAGGCAGATCATTAGGACCTATATCTCTGCCGGGCGTGGTGTGCATCTTCATTCTGCCCGCTTGTTATATTGTTTTCGATGTTGGCTAATTTTAGGAGCAAGCGCAGTGAAATATATTGGTGCTTTTTTCCTCAAATTTTAAGTTTTTACTACTTTTTTATGCCTATTTCAATAAATTTTAGTGTCATTTTAGGAGTCTAAAATGTAAACGTTAAGTTACATTAATGTAAACATAATTAGTGCCTGAACATCTGATACCTAATTATGTCATTTGCAGAAAGTTCTAAACCATCACAGGCTACCTGACTTTAGACCTATAATCTTGATTCTGTTTGTATAGAAATCCTGAAGAAATCAGCAGTTACAAATCCAGCATGATCTTGAGTCATGCTCACTGTTGCCTGCTAAAAAATCTTGTTTTGCCAGACTAGACCAACTAGCCCTTGCATCATGCGATCAGAAACTGATTAGTTTGATGCATATCTTAGACTTGAGTTAAGCTTTTGATATGCTCAACCACTCTCAAAACTTCAACCTTTTGATTTCCCTCATTCAGCTGTAAAATGGTTTAAATCCTACTTAGATAATAACAAGCAGTTACTTGGCTATAGATGGAATTATGGAAGAAAATACTAAATTGTGGCATAACACAAGTTTCAATATTAAGGACTCTTTTTATTCATATTTTTAATTGCAGACTTGTTATCCATTGATTATTAACTCCACTGTTATGGCTACTTTCAATGTTTGATCAACACGTTTCATCCTAACCAATATATACTGGCAGATCCAGGGGGGACCATGGGGGCCATGGCCCCCCTCCCGAAACAATTGGATGGATTTGCCCCTGCCAATTTTCCTCTGCTGTCTTATCCAATAACATTGTTTTAGAAAAAATTCTTGATTGACAGGATCTGGAGGTCTTTTTTCACTTAGGAGTAATTTTCTCTTATAATACGCTAAGGATTAATCCTCCATCACTTGTATACGTCATTATGTCATGTGTCGTTGCAGTTGTCAGGAAGCATCTCTGCGTATGCGCCTCCTACTAAGCGCTCCTGTGTCACTACCCAGCAGGCAGAATTAGGAAAGAATTAGGTAGGGGTAGGGTTTAGGACACTTCACAGGGTTTGGACTAGCTTTTGTAAAGCAGCCAAGCTCATTTTGTTGGAACAAATTTCACATGAGATTGTCTGGAATCGAACCTGGACCTCCTTGGTGAAAGGTGAGCATGTTGTTTTGAGTCTTGTGAAGTCTGCATATTACCCAAGAGATTGTGCACAAGACACTCATATCATATCCAATCCATATTGGTAATATCAGTTTTGAATGTGTATGTATGTTACAAATATCCTTGGCTTCTGGATGGAAAACTAGATTAAGTTTGTTCATAACCCCATTAAAGGCTATGTACCCCATTAAAGGCATTTACATTCCCTTTATTACTTTCATAAAAAATCTTCTTGAATCAGTAAAATTAACCCTAACCAATTCATTTGAACTATTCCTTTCCAGTGTTTACAATGAAACTCACCACCACAAACATGTGAATGTGATGCGCATCAAGTTAATAATGAAAGGGAGGGAAAAATGACAAAAAGAAAAGATCAAGAAATGAAGAAGGGGGAGGAGGAGGAGGAGGAGAAGTATCAGAAGAAGAAGGTGATGATGATCATTATTATTAATCACTCTATTTGCTATTCTTCTCAGTTCCCAATGAACACCATCCCTGAGTTGTACAAACAATACATGCAAGATAACAAAAGTTTGCAAACAAAACCACACCAAATTTAAAATATTCTTACCATTGCGGTTTCAACAAAAATTCTATAATATCCCCAGTACGACTGCATACAGGCACTGACATAGTGTGATGCTTTTGACCTCGAAAAAGGCCTAGTTTTACAAGCTCATCTTTTATCTTTTCACGAGCCTCAAATCTTTTCAACCCCTAAAAGCAAGTTTGCAACAAACAGAAATTCGTATTAGACCATCTTACAAAAATCGAAGTTCACATTTATTTCAATGTTTTAACCCTTTTATTAATGGTCAATATTATATTTAACTTAAATAAACTAACACTGATAACAATGTATAAGAGTTTAAACATTAAAGAAAACACACACAAACCATTTTCCTAGGTTCACCCAACATGAAAAAGAAAGTGTTATGTAATGAAGTAAAAAAAAAAAAAAAAAATTATTGAATTGAACTTAAACTACTCTACTATATTACACTTCATTGATTAACAAGACTAAAATCAAAAACTTCTTAGGAATCAAAATCTTTTCTATTAATTAAAATTAAAATGACCAACACTTACTTTGAACTTGTCACACTGGTCATTCATTATTCCTCTTTCATCTATAACAGGCACAAATTCTAAACAATGTTTTTTTCCTATTTCACAATCAATCAGACTATGTGCTGGAGTCACCTTCACAACACCTATTCAAAAAAGTTTCAAATGAACATGAGATATATATCTCTCAATAATTCAAACAATTAAAAATGATAATACCTGTTCCAAAATGTGGATCAACAGATTCATCACATACTACTGGTATTGTTTTCCTAAGAAAAGGATGCATCACATGTCTTCCATGCCAATCCAAGTATCTACTGTCATTTGGGTTAACTGCAACTGCAGTATCACCCAACATAGTTTCCAATCTAGTTGTTGATACAACCAACTCATCACCTATGATGAAATAAATTTCTTGAATAAATCACTAATACAAAAATGTTTGATCATAAACAGAAATTAAAAAGTTTCATGTTTCATTAAATTGTGATCTTTTCAGAAATTATTTCCAAAGAAATGAACACAAAAAAATACACTTCAAAAGGAAGTTAATCAAATTCACATATATCTTGAGCTACTTGTACAGAGACTTATTAGAACAACATATTAAATTCCAAGAGTTTAAAAAATCATTTTTATGAAAGAACTTGCATGACAAAAATTCAACCAATAACTTGTTCCAGGCCAAGGATTTCTAAACTGAAAGAATGCAACATTTTTATTCCCAGAAAGTGAGTTCTTTTTTTTTCTTCAGAAAGTTCCCTTTTTTATTTTCCTTTCCCATGCATGCATGTTTACTTTGTGGCTGTTTTGATAAATATAAAGTTAAAATTTCCATTTGTTATTCTGCTTTTTTAGATTGGGACATGAGTAGTAACAAGTTAGTTTTTTGTAGGGTTTTTACTAAATATCATGTTTTGTTTTTCAATTTAAAAAATCTGATATTTTTTATGTAAATCGTATTTATATCTATAACATTGTGCATTTTGAGCCTAGCTTTTAGTTTTAATTGTTACAGTGTATAATTGAACTACATACATACTATTTTTTTACTACATACATGTTTTAGTATACATTTACTTGCACACATATTTTGAAAACATGTATTGCACAGCATGAATTTCTCGTCCTTACTTGTTTATAAAGACCATCAGTAATTGTGGGAAGAAAAAATATTCAACTATTGTTCAATTTATTAATTAAATAACTAAACACAAAAACTAATATTTATGATAAATAATAATATTTCACTACTATAATACTAATATTTATATTTTACTAAGTTGTAATTAATTATTAGTTACTGTGATTTTTAGTTGAAGACAGAAAACTGGTAGAATGCATGTTTGTAAGATTACATTCACAAAAAAAAATCTATTTCGATTATAAATTATTTTCTTTTGAATTAGTGACATTAGTATATTTGGAAAGGTCAGGGGAAAGAAGTCCAATTTTTACATATTAAAGATTAGTTAATAAATCTGGTTACAAATATTTTTGAATTTTTTGTTGTTGTTTTTTTTCCCTCGCAAATAGGCCGACTTGGACCACGTGTGCATGCACCCTACCTTTCCCCACAGTCCAAAACCATTATCTCACGGGATGTAATTTTTATCAGGGGATACATTTAGCTGGATCTGATTTTTATCCCCCAGGGATGTTAGACCTGGAGGCATGGAAGATGAAATGATGAAAGGAGAGAGGACGACACACACATAGAGACGCAAATACACCCATCCCTGAAGCCCTGAGGTGGGACTCGAACCCGCAATCTTGTAGTGCGAGACTGCTAAGGCACCATTGACTTGGCGATCTTGGCCATCTACTTGGTAGTTTTGAATTTTACTTCTGCATGTAAAATTTATTTTCTACAATTTACAGTTTTTTCTTGATACCTTCAAAAGTGTAAAAGAAAAGTTTTACCCACATTGCAAGGATTATATCACAGGTTTTAATAAATCTAGTAACAGAAGGAAATTAAAGAATTTTGACATTTTCTTCATTTAAAAGATTAGTTTTAATTGTAATGTAACTCGCAAAACATCAATGGGAAAAACAAGATATATTTAAAGAAAAACTTTGAGGCAAACTTATATCAATGAAAGAAATAGATATGCACACACATACATACAGCTCTTGTTACTCAATTACCTAAACAAATCACAGCCACCATTTACATAATAATTAAGACATATTTTTTATGGGCCACTACCCATTAGAAAACAGGAAGTCTTTGCAAGGTATTATTTTCCATCACAAAATCATCAAAATATTTAGTCAAAATTAAGAAGAAAAGTCAAAACAAATAAATGTACAGACTCACATTTTGGAACTCTCACAGCAGATTACCTTATAATGTTGATAAAATGAGTATAAATTTGTTAAAAAATATTTAAATTCCTATATCCTCATTCTAAAAACCGGATGAATTTCAAAAGATTATTGAAGTTGTTAACAATTGTTCAAATGAAATTTTGATCCTCTTTACTTGTGAGTGTTGCATCTTTGATATATGAACCCATGTACCTCCACATGGTGCAAAAAATGAGATAAGACAAAAGCAAAGGTTTGCCAAATTACTGATTGACTTGTAAGAAACATTGTATTATATGTTTTGTAACTGAGTCTAAGAGTAAAATTACTTTGCCTTTCAAGATCACATATTGTAAAATTGGAAGTAATTTTAACTTTTTAATAAGAGTTCAATAAATGTGAGTTTCATTGATTCTTTTTTTTTTTACTAATTTTCAATCTTATTTAAGATAATTAAAATAATTTGCGTGGCCTTGATGCTTATTATGGCTGTAAAAATTAATTGATACTATTCTATTATTAACAAAAAAAGATGTATGTAATGAGCAAATGTAGAAAATAATTAAATTTCAATAAGTTTTTACTACTTAATATATTCTATCTTGTTATTAATAGAGATTAGATAAACTCGATACATAAAAGGTCTCAAAGAATTTTTTAATGGTTTGAGGCCTTTTGTAAGCTAAAATAAATATTCTTGAGATCTATAGGACTAGTTTAAAATCCAATTGACCAATTAAAATAAAGTTAAAAAAATGGAAAAATTTTAAAAAAATATAGAAAATCAGCTTTTAATGAGAGAAAAATGATTCAGAACAATGTAAAATCAAATTACCAGTATCCGACACCGCTAAATTGGCATTTCTGTATTTAATATTACTACACATGGAAGATAATTTTCATTAAATATTAATTTCAATCTCACTCCCAAGAGGTTCGTAGATTTCAAAATACCTATTAATTTGTATAAACTTTTAAAGTTGCAAGGTTAGTAATAAACTTTTAATATTTTTATGCTTGGTCATCAGTAACTTAAACCAGAAAATTCATCCTTTATCAAACCTTTCAATAAATCTTATCAAAGTTGAGTACTGATGAAAGGGCAATGTAAGTGAGAACCCATATGTTACCAATACAACACATCCAGAAAGAATAACGAAAACAATACGATACATACTACCATCTGGAGTTTTGTAAGCAAAATTCGAAAGGACTCCAAATTCTACAGGTCCTTCATAATTTGGAACATCCAGTAATGTATGGCCATTGATTTCTATATGATTTACTTCAATATCAGATATTGCTGACTGGAGTTCACAACACCAATTCACAATACTTTCAGAACGGTAAATCAAACCATTAGAATGTAAATGAATAAATGCATTAGCCACAGTTTCTGAATGTTTCTGTTAAAATAAAGAAACAACATTCAGGTAAGAAATTAAAGTTATTCACCACACATTTCATAAGCTCTTTGATTCAATTGAAATCTTACAGAATCCAGAGTAAAATACTGGTGAGACCAATCCAATGAGGCACCAATATTCCTCAACTGATTGGTGATATAAGACTGCTTTTCTTTCTTCCAGTTCCAAAGTTCTTTCTCAAAATTTTCTCTTCCTAAATCGTATCTGGTTTGACGTTTCTCTTTCCATAGTTTTCTTTCAAATGCTGTTTGGGTTGCGATGCCAGCATGATCAAATCCAGGTATCCAAAGTACTCTCTTACCTTGCATTCTTTGCCTAATGGGAGAATACTTTGTAATTTACATTTAATAAAATTCACAAATGGGCATGTCAAAAAGACCTGTACCATCTAGCTAGAACATCTTGGATTGTCACGGTGAGGGAGTGGCCAAGATGTAATGTTCCTGTTACATTAGGTGGAGGAAGTATCATACTGAAGTGTTCTGAGCTTGTGTGACTCCGGACTGCAGGGGTTTGTCGGTCTTTATGTTTAAACCATATTTCATGCATCCTGTACTCAACATCTGATGGACTGTATGAATCTGATAAAGTTTGAAATCCTGCAACAAAATTCATTATAAGAACTTTAATTAACAATCAACTAGAAATATGAGATCTTCTCTTCTAGAGATTTTTACCTCGGCCAAATGATTTATTCCTAAATCCATGTTTCTGAAGCCAATGTTTGCCTGCTGTGAATGGGTACCTAAATGGTGTACCACTAATCCATTTTGGAGAAACATATTCAATGCACTTACAACACTGACAACATATTTTAAACATCATCTCATTAACTAAGGGTATAAAAGCATTTTATTTTCAATAAAATATAACCACAATTACTGAAATCAACCAAACCCCCGGCGCTTCAAGCTTTAGCGAAGCTTAACCCAGCCTTAGACAAGACGAGCAAGGATCAGAGCTCAGTATAACATATATCAACATTGCTGTGCACTGCGTCCTAGTGCATACCACGATTACACCCACTCAGCCCACCCACGCCGCATATGCTTGTATGCTTGCCGCCACTTGCCGCTGGAAGCACGAGGACAACAACAAAGTATCTAATCTCGCGACCTGCGTTAACCTACACTGCCGCAGTGCTGCCCTCACAATCTCGGCTCGTCAGGCGCATTATTTTGGTTTGGTGGGGGAGCTAGGGATCTATTCATTGCTCCATGGATGTAGCCATCCTCTCAACAATGAGGAACGTTCAACACTGCAGTATTTTACTTTTTCGTATACATACGATTATACGGAGTAATATACGGAAAACACAGGGTCATCGAAACTCGACCTCTCAAATGATATATATATAATATCTATATATATATATATATATATAAATATATGATATAATAATATTATATATATAATATATATATATATTGCTTCTTCTTAGAGTAAATATCTTTCTCTGAAATATATTTTCACTTATTCACCCATTGTTGCACTCGAAATGAATGTTAAAGTTCTACGCATTCGCATTACACGTCCGTAATATTTATCTTTTTTCTGAATTATGTTAAAGAGACAGAATATACGGATAATAACATACTGGTACAGTAAACTTATGAAATGCTGCGGAAATAATTTGGAGACCCAATGGAAATGCACCCTTGGGGTCCCCTGAAACAAAAAATATGTTGTTTTTTTGAGACAAAACGTCCGTCTGTATGTTTAATAGCAGTACTGTACCCTGCGGTCTATACGTCCGTCTGTATTCTCGTGAACAACACTAAAATCTAAACAATGCATAGGATTTTGCGAACTGAATAGACCGGACGATCTAGCCTTACTCAAGCTCTGCAATTTTGAATACCAATCTTCAACTTTTGATGCTACTTTACATGAAGCCCCCACGGCATTTCAATTTTTAAAAATGATTCCAATTTTTTCTTTAAATGTTGTAAGGATAGAGTGAAATACACTTGTAAACGTGGTAATACGTCCTATTTGCACTGTTAACAATCTGACTTTTCGAAATTGCAAAAAAGTTGAAATTGTTTCAACGTCTTCAGAAATTACAAATTCAATATAAAGGGATTTTTAATTTTAAAAAATTGATCTCAATAATTAGTTCTTTCACTATATCAATACAGTAACTTTCTCTCACGTCGTTAATATTTACATTAGCGGCGATTGTATACATTATTGCATTTAGAAGTATACGCAGCTACACATTATTTTTTCGAAACTCAAAAGTTTTCTGTGAAAATGAGCTTTTGCGGTGGATTACGCCAGAAGTACATAGGAAAATCTAACTTATGTGAAATTGTGCCGTTAGTCGTTCAAACTCAAAGACTAACTAGTGGGCTAGTGCTAGGTTTATGGTAGATCAAAGCGCGCGCGGATGATCAAATTGTCAGAGAACTTTGCAGCAGCGAGTATATATCTTTGCTGTTGGTCGTTGGGGTCTCAGTGTCGGTGCTTGTTGCGTAAAGGTGGTTTACACTGCATTAGCAAGCAATCTATACAAGGCTCGCTTCGTCCGGCGGATGATCGCGGGGAGAATTACGAGGGTGCCTTTCATATTCCAGGATTAGAGAACAAAAACAAATATTAATCATCAGAAACAACTTTATTGTTTTTCAAAATATTCCCCATGAAGATCTGTACACTTTGCATGCGTTTGAACCAATTGTCGAAGCACTTTTGCCACTCTGATTGAGGTATCTCCAAAATATGCATTCTGAATGCAGCAACCGCTTCTTCAGGTGTCGAAAACGTTGACTCTCAGTTTCTTTTTTATGTACGGGAATAAAAAGAAGCCATTCGTGTCAAGTCAAGACTATACGGCGGATGACTCATCAAATCGATGTTTTGGGTGCTCAAAAATGCAGTTTGAGCCGATTGTGAGAGCTCGCATTGTCGTGAAGAGTGATCCGTCTTCGGCGGTTGGTTTTCCTGATTTCTTGAAGACAGCTGGCAAACAAATCGTTAGTACCACTCAGAATTGATGTTCTGCGTGTTCTAGTGGATACATGCGACATGTCCAGTTTTTCCGAAAAAACAGCGACGCATCTGTTTGGAAGTGGTTTGTACGCGAACAACTTTTGTTGGATTTTGCTCATCTTGAAACACCCATACAGTCGACTGCTGTTTACTTTCGGCTCATACGCGTAAATCCACGATTCATCACCTGTCACGATTCATAGACGTTTTCGAAGCCACCGCGATCGTATTTTTTGAGCATTTTCTTTCGACCAATCGACACGAGCCTTTTTGAGCGATGACAAATTGTGTGGGAATCCAACGCGAATTTTTTAGTCAAATGTTCATGCAATAATGAATGTAGCTGTACCACTAATGCCTAAGGTTGTCTCAATCTCACGATAGGTCACATGACGATCTTGCAATATCAGTTCACGCACAGAATCAATGGTTTTCAGAACAACTGATTTTGGACGACTTTCGCGAAATTCGTCTTGGAATGAAGTACTACCATGATTGAAGTCACCATACCATCGATAAACACTGGTCCGTGATGAAGCTTCATCGCCAAAAATTGAATTAAGTTCATCCGTGCACTGTTGCCGAGTTAATCCACGTCGAAAGTTGTAAAAAATAATCGCACGAAAATGTTCACGATTTAATTCCATTTTTGGGCCAAGATAAATCTTTTAAGTTACTGTAAACAACAGAAATAGCGCACGTATGTCAAAACGTTCTGAGTACGTATAACCCCAAAACATCCAACTTTACGATAGAGCTGTCAGTTGCCAGATTGCAACACCAGGTTTGCCAAATCCCGAAACATAAAAGGCAACCTTCGAACTATTACTCGCGCAACTTTTCTTGAATGATATCTTGCTTCCCCCTCTCTGGCACAATACACAGCTGAAGGTGAAAGTTCGTAGCGAGTACTGTAGACTACATTTCAAACACACCGTCACTGGCGCGAAATAGAAACAATTTTCTTTTGAACATTTTTTTTAAGAGAACAATTTTCTTTTAAAGAGAACGTTAGTTTTTCCAAAAAATCTATAGAAATGACCGAAGGTGAAGATCCAACACAGGAGATACCTCGAACTCCTGAGAAAGTTGGAACGCAAATTATTGAGAAAGGTGCGAGGGCATGACTAAATCTCCAGAGATTAGCATTCCTTCATAAAATGTAGGGTCCGATTTCGAAGCTAAAACCCCCACTCTTCAATCTATCGTCCAAGAAAAGTTGCGCGAGTAATACCCGTTTACACCGAGCGTGCTCGCGCTCCAGTGATTGTTCTGTCGGCCATGTTTTTCGCTCGCGGAGTTAACCCTCCCAAGATAGGGTTATTGTGTGTCTGTAGTGTCATTGTAGTAAGAACAAGCGACTGAATTTACTTTTCAGAGAAAAAATAATAGAAGAAAGGATTCTATTTCTGAAAATGGTTCATGAATCGAAAAATGTTACTTTTAGTTGCCATTACTTTGTTTGAATTTATTTTAAATTAAATTAATTTTAAATTAGTTCTTTATAAAGTTCTTACAAGAACGGAAAGAACTACAGATTTCAAGTATGTCCCATATTGCTGCTTTGATCTGCGAAAAGGTCACAATTTCTCAAAACAATGTAAATTCTCATTTAACAAAACATGTTAATTTAGTAAAAACTATTGTATAGGGCAGACATGTCTGAGAGTTAATACAATCAAATTAAAATGAAGAAATTAATATATTCTCAACAAAAACAAACATAAAATACTTCATTATTCACGCCTCAGCTTCATCAATATTATAAACGTGCGTTTTGATAGTAGTGAAATGTATCTGGGGTCCGCAAAATGAATGTGTAATATTGAAACATTTAAAAAATATAATTAAAATAAGTAAATTTTGTACCGATTTTTCTCGTATCCTACTTTTAAACATACCATTTAATTGTTGTATACTTTTTCTGTGAAAACTGCGAAATTCGCCTTTATACTCACAAGACGGTTGAAATTCGCCATCGTGTTCGCAGGTAGAACTGAAAATGTTCGACCGCATCCCGAACCTCTCAACTCCAAGCGAATGTGTTTCCTCGGGGTCTGCATTCGTTTACACAGAACAAACGTACCGAGCGAATGTTCGCTCGCTTCCGCCAGACGATCTCGTCCGAACGCTCAGGTGTTCAGTTTCTACCGGCCGATCGAACGAAGAGTTGTTCGTTCGGCAGCGTTCACTCGCGCAGTGTCAACGCACTTTAACCCAACGCCAAAGCGCGAGCGGGACGTTCTACTTTTGGAAGCAGTGTGGCATTGGTCTTAGGGTCTCTGGAGGTACCTTTGCTGCGTTTTTTCAATTTAGTGCAATTTTTTTTCAATTTATTGCATCAACTTAGATGCAACGACTGTCCAAACCCCTTAGGAGGTTGAGCGCTTCGCTCTTTTGGAGTAATCCTCCATTAACTCGCATAGTCCGTCACGGCTCGTCTCAGTCAGTTATCAAGAGAACCACCAGATAACATCTCCGCGAACGCGCGTCTTTCTTACGCGCCTCTGCATCACTACCCAGCGTTCAGATTTGGGAAGGAATAAGGATAGGGGTAAGGTTTAGGACGCTTCACAGGAGTTGGACTAGCCCCTGTGAAGCAGGCAAACAATGCGTTTTGGAGGACTACGCCAAAGCTCGCGAGGAAGAATCTACTTGTGTGACATTGATCGGTGAGTGGGTCTCTTTATCTCCTTCGCTGGTTCAGGGCACTCGCTTCTGCCACAACCACGTTCACCACGGCCGTACAGGAGGTCACCCGCGCTGTGTCCATACCTTATCGCGCTGCGCTTGCCAAAGAACAATAATTGCCGATATATAATATTTATATTTCGTAAATTACTCCCTACAAAGGCCTCAGGGATTGGTTTTATTTACCAGTTCTACAAAGAACCTTCAGGCAACTGACAAACAACACACACGTTTAACAAAATATAATAACATAGTAACTTTTTTGTCTCTTTGCTTTTATCAGAGAAAAATAAACATCGTACCAAAACCACATAAAATGTTCAATTCTTGAAAAAAATTACAATATATTTTATTTTCTTGTCTTTTGAGGTGTTTACAAAAATGAAAACAAAAATAGAAAAAACCCGGACAAGAAATACACAAATGAAATAGTGCATACAATTTTTTTCTTCTCGACATGTAATCGCAATCATATCACATCACAAT